ATTCATCAAACATGAAATGAAAGAAACAATAGTAGTGAAATTACTTACTTCTCTTCCCAAAGATGGGGGAAGAGAAGTAATTTGAATTTAGAGTATCATGTATAAGTTATCAAACTTCTCAATCCACTGTGGTGGTTTATGATTAACTATTTTCATATTTCTTTCATTCTGAATTTTAATTTGATCCACAATGTCTTTCTCTTTGTCGATTGAATATTTCAACAAACACTCTTGTGTGGGCACATTGGTGTGTCACTATGAAACAGACATGGTGCAACTTATTGACCAAGTCTGAACACATGCAACTCCAATGTTTGAGTAATTCTTTCCTCACATGCAACTCCAATGTTTGAGTAACTCTTTCCTGATTCACAGGGTCCCTTCATCTTTGATTCCTTGAGCCTCTGCACATGCATCCTATGGACCCTCTGCCTTGCAAGCTTCAAACACAGACCTGGTGCCAGGGTGCAAGAAACGTCACTTACAATAAGATACCACCATCCCAGCCAATGATCCAAGGATTCCCAACAAACTGAAAGGTCTGCTGCCCTCAATGGCCTACCCACCCAACCATTCATATCCTAAGGTTTCTGGGGAATTAAAAGGTGAGCAATCTGCCCTTGCTGTGTGTTGAATGGAATATGTATGAAGCCAAAGTCAAGGAAGAAGGAAAGAAGACAGTTCTTTGATGTAAATCATGCAAGCTTTTAACCCTAAAATGAGATCTGGTTTCTCAAGAGAAACAATTGCAACACAAGAAGGAAGACCCAGAGTCATAAGTGACAGTGTATGGTGACAACCCAGCTACCCCCAACTTTGATGAGTCTGATGTTCCAATTTGCTGCACTTCCAAGCATGCAGTCAAGATTTGCCAATGAGAAGCCTCTGATTCAGATGCTGAGTGAAGAAGCTGGCCTTAATTACCTGTTCCTCCCAAAGTCCTACTATGAACTCAACCCAATAGAGCTCTATTGGTTATTTGTCAAGCACCATTTTTTTCCTGGTTCCACATATGGACTTTAATTTTTTGACTGATAATAGTGTAAACCAAATATTACTGAATCAACAGGTTCCAATGCAGAACTTTCAAGGAGTTCAAGGCTCTCTTGAAGCAGATACCCAAGCACTGTCCAGAATCAACCATTCAAAAGTGTTTTGAAAAGGTTGATTACCACATGGATCCACATGGGCAAGTTTCAGTTTTTTCTCAGCTAATTGCATCAACCTTTTCTGATATTTTGGTATCTCCAATAATCAATACAAGAATTTACTGGGATAAAAGCTGAAGAAATGCTCAAGGAATATTGCTCACATTGATGTATAGCACATAAGGCTGTACTGAATTGATTTGAACACTTGAAGGTTTTTTTCTATTATTTGTTTCTTGTTCTCATGTTGTTGATCTATTGTTTGATTTTATATACATGCAAGAACAATACAAGTTCAGGTTGTCCTGCAACTCACAAGTATTAATGAGAGGTGCTTATGTTGTTGGAGTACTTGAATGACTACTCAAGCAGATATGTGAGTACTTAAATACCTAGTTCAAGTACTTCAGTACACGAGCCAAGTAGGTAAGCACTTAACACTAAGGTCCCTTGGGTACCTGGACCCAAAAGTCAAGGTATTGGAAATGAAAAATGAAAAAATGGCTGATGGAAATGACTTCAATTAGTCATCTCTGAGACAAACATCACATAGTAAGTATAGGAATGACTTATTACATGGTGTTTCTCAGTAGAAGTCATGTGTATAAATTTCTGCAGTACTTTGTGTGGAGCAGTCATGGTTGAGACTAAACTGGATCAACTGTACCTGGTAAATAAAGGGCAATGAAGATATTTCAACATGGTAATCCATAATACGGTAGATTCCAAGTCCTACTGTTTCATGCCTGCAACCCTGTGCCAGCAACACAGTGGGCACAACAAGGGAATTTCCCGCTGTGTTGCTCTTTGACAGGTAGCATACTGGCTGCAAACCGTGTTATGCTGTTCTGAGCACTGCAACATGAGATAGGTAAGCCAAGTTGTGTGCCGGCGCACCCGTTGCGCAATGCAACAGCGCCCAAGAGCTCCAGGAACCAATGCTTTTGTGGACCACAACATTTATGTAGAATTTGAGCAATGGTGTGGCATGTAAATTCCGCAACATAACAGCAGCGCAGCACGCGACAGCTGCATTGCTGGTCCAGGGTTGATTCCTGTGTGTACTTCAAATGAATGTCACACAATATGTCACCTTTGGGGCCATACACAACCATGGATATCTACCATTGAGGCACACAATGCAAATGGTTTCATTTCCATAATATTGCTCTGCATTTCTGTAATATTCATAGCTTGTAATTGGTTTTTAAAGTCTATACACCTGAAACACTATGGATTTCTACCTTGCCCAAGTCCATTTCTCCTTGCTAGGCCTTGGCAAGGGAGGAGCAAGGGACTGTATCAAGTTGCTATGAATGTGAACTCCAGTGAAGGGTATGTATTCCCAGAAAACAATACATACCATGTGCCTCAATAGGAGATCTCTGGGGACCTGGCCAGACTGGCTTACACATGATTGCATTATATCATATGCTATCACAAAGATTTGACACTGAGGTTGACATATCTTTCCTGTGAATGATTGTACAGTTAACCCAGGAAATACATACGTTATGGTGCCCAATGTTGCTACACATTCTGACCAATTCTGGCAAAAAAATAGACAAGTGTTGATGATTTCCTACGTACATGCAGTATGACCAGTCTTTGTGTTCAAAGAACATCTTAATCCCAGAAATGCCTGTGCCCAGTCCCCAGAATTTATACCTCATCACCTCAAACCTTGAGGGGTTTTCTCTAAATCCCTGCGCATAGATCATGCAATAAGTTAGATGTGCCCCACAGTAGCTTAGTGGAACCCCACCCCTTGGCAAATTGGCTGACTATGCATGTATGCAGGTTTACTTCTGCACAGGTATGAGTATAAAGGTGCCCAACAAAGGCCTGTAGGCATTTAACCATGGTAGCATAGAAGAGGTAGCCCACACCTCAAGACAGACATAAATCAAGCCACCCACAGGTCACCCCAATCATTGCACTTTGTATGTTCAGCAACAGCATCAATGAAGGGTAGCAAAGCCGTTATACCATATGGGAAGGTTTCAATGTCAACTTTGTGATGAGCTTGTACTCCTGGAAGCAATTCAGACAAGACATAGTCTTTTGTTCATTCCTTATGCAAAGTAGCTGGGTTTCATTATCCCCCAGTCGACCTATGTGATATGCCATGCTGCAGATACCTAATATATGGATAAATGACTTGACAATATGAAAAAAAACATTATTTATTATGATCATGGTTTGACACTGGCTTCAGAGGCATACAACTTCTTCAAGGAACCTTTCAGTTTAACTTTGTTTTGATCAAAAAAGATTTTCTGCTTTGATGTGTATCATCATTCCAGTCCACTCAATACATGAGACTAATTTTCAAAATCGGTCAGGGATTTTGCAAATATGTGGGCCATACACCCTTGGAATAGGACTTGACAAATCACTAAGGACTTTTTCAACTAAATGTACATTTTTTAGTTGCAGACCTGGGTATTACCTAGGGTTGCAGTGTGAATTAAGCCTCACACCAAGGCAATCATTTGTTGACTCATGTTCATTGTGAAGTCAGGATCATTATCTATACTTTGTGGTTGTAGGCAAAAGGATTGGTAGAAAGGTGTGACAACACTCGGCTGCAGTACAGATCAAATGGTTTGGCAACATATCTAACCATGCTGATCCCTTGAGAAGATCTGATGAAAGCTGTGCCTGCACCATAAGATTGAAGATTGACTCAAAGAACAACAAAATAAACAATCTTGTCATGATCTCAATGGGTACAGTCTGGTATGGTGTATGTATTTATGCAGATTTTGTACTATGATACACTTATTGCTCATTCTTTCCCTCATGGCACACATTAGCAGATGTGTGCCTGAAGACTTTCTTGTGGCATTGGAGGGCCAAGGAGAACCAAACCAAACTCTGAGCTTAATGACAGATTGGGAAATCTCAGGAAATATCTACGTCTGAGATCAATCCAAAAGAACACCACAGGTTGATTTCTTTTTCAAGTCCCCAAACAAAGTCGACTTTCTTCACAGCGTTTGGAAGCTGCCTTAGGTCTTTGTCTTGAATTAATTCAAAGCACCAGAAGAAATCGTTAACATGCAATCATAGAAGAGATTTTCAACAACAAATTGAGTGGATCGAGCTGGAATGATCATGAGAGGTTTGCAAAGCAAAATTGTAGAGGTGATATCAATGACCATGATAGTGAGACTATGCTTCGGCGCTGCACATCCACAATCTCAGAATCAGCTCCTCGTCTTTAACCAGCTAGCCTTGACACTAAGCTTTTGGTCCATTCATGACCAGTGACCGACATCCCAAATGGACACATTCTGACAGCCTCAGCTCCAGGAATGCAGTATGATGTGCTCGTTTTGGCTGAACTCTTGTGCTCCTCAACATAGTCACAAGGTGAACCCGATGTCATTGTCAAAGACCGCTGACTGCTGAGCGATGAGTGGAAATATTTGTTGATAGTACGTCACTTGGACTCGAGTTCGTTGAGCATCTTTGAGGTGGAGTACATCGAATGATAGAGAAAATTGACAGGGCATATTGTTAGCATTGAATCTTTGGCATTGCAAGTGAATCTGGGTGAAACTCAAAGTGGAAGAGGTCAATGGTGATCATAATGGTCATGGCAGTCTGAATTGGAAATCTTCTTTGCTGGTAGAGGATTATAATTTGAACCGATGACCAAATTAACATTTGATCAACTTATTCTTTGGACCAAAAAAGTGTGTTCCTGAATCGAAGTTAACGATGGATTGATTTGGGTTAAGGTGTAACAATAAGTAGAATCAAGCAGGAGAAATTTGTTCTACAAAGAAACCATTCTTAGGCTTAGTTATGTATCCCAGTATGTAAGTAGGTATTAATACATACCATAAATGATACAAATTCAACTGCCCCTCTCCTCTCTCTCTCTTTACCACCACACGCAATTTCTCTCTATCTCTTTACTTTCTACTACACAGACACACACATACTCATCAACTGACCAAACCAGCAATCTCAATTTTGAATCTTCACCTTAAACAATCTCACAATCATCGCCTTCCCCAATCTCTTATAGTTTTTTACCCTTTTCATCCTCATCTTTCATTCTATCATGGCAGAGATTCGTCGAAAGCTTGTCATCGTCGGCGATGGAGCTTGTGGAAAAACTTGTTTACTCATCGTTTTCTCAAAAGGCACATTTCCCGAGGTATACAATCCATTTTCACTCTTTTTGACCTACCACCATTCAACATTTCTAACTCTCATCACCTCTACTAAACTCTCCTTCATGCTTCTATCCTTCGTCACATCAAACTGACTTTGCTTTCCGATCCATCCAGGTCTATGTTCCAACCGTCTTCGAGAACTACGTCGCCGATGTTGAAGTAGACGGCAAACGAGTCGAACTGGCGCTTTGGGATACAGCTGGCCAAGAAGATTACGATAGACTTCGACCACTCTCTTATCCGTGCGTCTACCCTTTCTCTTCTTGCGCCTTCAGCTGTCGCCTATCCGGAGAAATTTCATTTTTTAACGCTTTCGTTTTCTTGGCTCTAGTGATTCGCACGTTATCTTGATATGTTTTGCTATCGACTCTCCCGATTCGTTAGACAACGTCCAAGAAAAGTGGATTTCAGAAGTCTTGCACTTTTGCCAAGGCTTACCTATCGTCTTGGTAGGATGTAAGAAGGATCTTAGGTCGGATTCAACCTCATCGCCTCCTTTTCATCGAGCTAGCCTGACTTGAAGAATGTCTCAAATATCCTTCATAGGAATGACCCGAAAACTATCGATGAGTTGCGAAGAACGAGTCAAAGGCCCGTGACATCCGACGAGGTAAGTACAACTACCAAAGCTTGCCTCACATTGCGTTTCTCACCATGTCTTTCATTATTTCAGGGAATGGCCGTCGCCCAAAAAATTGGTGCACAACGTTACCTCGAATGTAGTGCCAAGTCCGGTCAAGGAGTCCGAGAAGTCTTTGAGCACGCGACTCGGTACGCACTCCTTGCCAAGAAAGGTGGCGGTCGACGCACTCGTGGTAAAGTGGTGGGTTTTTCATTCTAATTCAATGCTTCGTCCTCCTCATCTGCTCTGCTCTGACCTCGATCATCACTTTTGTTCAATAGTGCAACATCCTTTAAGTCGAGAGAGAATCGTTGGATGCCTGGTGCTAGCTTCTTCTTACTCATTTTCTCAGCCCTCTACCTCATCTTTTTATCCTTGTTTTTTTTCTAGCCGCTTTACACCTGTTGCTTTCCGTGTTGTGCTGTGTTACTTGACGGCGCTTCTGTAGCTGCGCATCCTGTGATGTGCGCTAAATTGAGGTTTATTGGTGGAACTAATTTTCAATTTGATGTCCAGTCGATTTCTGTGTTCCTATCATGAGCTTGCGATGGGGTGTACTCTACATCGCCACATCATATGATTCAACATAACATTGGTTTCACACATTCATCACTTCTCTGTTCACTTGGTTTCTGCCCTCAATGTCTCGTAATGGTGCCTAAGTATATCTGTATTGTAGAGGCACACGCTGGTTCTCCAAGGACTCAATAATGCTCCGACCTATGATGTGCGCTAAGTGCTTGATTTGGTCGACGGCATCTCAATCATGTTGCGGTACAATTCCTCCTCAATGCCTATGCTGTTCTTTTGAACTTGAATTCACTACTCAAGATATGATGACGATCCCTTCCAAGATATGAAATAAAGTTGAGATATGAATTGGGGAGTGCGCTGGTGCTCATATTGCGTTTATTGGACCTCTCGAAGCACAGGCGAACTTTGCTGTGGAAAGAGTCTTCAGCTTGACAGGTTAAATCACACCACATAATCAAACCTTGGAGCTTCGAAAACTGAGCTCCTCACCGTTTCCACTGCTCCTTTGCATACAGTGTGCCATGTGAGAAAGCAAATCAATAATGTGATATGTGCTTTGTGGTGAAGATTAGGTGGTTGCGGCATTGAAGTAACCTCCCTGAGGGAGCATGTGAGCCAGCCTCCGGGATGACAGCACAATCATGGACATGAATTTGCAGCTCATTCAATTTTGCTCAAAGAGGCAAATCTTGTAAGCTCATTTTATACCCCTGTGAAATTGATGGGAGGTAAAATGAATTCCACAATTGCTTTGGACTCAAAAAGGCCCAAGCACAACAATCCACACAAAATTAAGACACAAAAACAATTTCAAGATCCAGCAGGCCGGCTGAACTGGATTACATTTCGGCTATATGGGTTGCTTGTCCGATAATCAAGAGGTTGGGAGTCCCATTGATGTAATATGGTGAGCAGCATTGATAAAATGTAGCACGATTGAACCCTTCTCAGCAAACTTCACTTGCTTTGTTTGAAGAAGCATGATGAAGTGCAAATGTGTTAGAAAGATATGCTTCTACGCGGTAGTCGAGACATGTTTATAGCGCGTTTCCGTTTACACACAGGATTTCACATGTGAAAACTTCGAATTACAAACTGGGATTGGCATTCCTGATCAGAATAGATGGAAGCTGAATGCATGCGACGGTTTTTGAAGAAAGAAAGCATTGGTCAACAAGGATCATCGAATTAAAAAGAAAAGAAAGATGGAATCAGTCAAGAGTACGACAATTGACCAAAACCATCAAAACTCAATCATATCAACGACTACAACACCAAGTACTTCAAACCATTTATCAGTTCAAGCTAACATCGCACAATCAGCTCATCAGGCTGTCAAACAATATCCAATCAATACTACTCTCCTCAAGTCAGATAGTGAGTTGGTTTTGATCAGAGTAGTCACAGTGTATTCAAAAGATACTAATCAACCATCCTTGTCACAGTCAACGATCTTCTTTCAAACTTGACCATCGATCACGATCTCTCTTTCGATTCAAAACAATATCTAAACTTATCACAAACTCATATAGAAAAATCTTTGCAAGTCTTGGAACATTCAATTGACCCTTCTAATACTATTGACCCTCATCAGCATTCCTGGGCATTATCTCAACTTCAATTGGCGAACCATTTGATCAATCATCAAATTCGAGAAAATGCAAATCACCCATTGTGAGTCAATTCTCCTTGCAATCTTTATACATCTCTTACTTCCGTCAAATGTTAACGCGCACTTTATCACATCTGCTCAGAACTTTCAAAGACCCTCCTATAGCTCTTCCAATCGGACATTCAATCCACCAAGAGGCCCATCTATCGAATCCTGAAACCCCTGCCCAATTTCACGCCGGTCTTCTGCACGTTCCTCTTGTCCAGTCTTCCCCCCACTCTGCAAGTATTGAGGATCCTCCTTCGACGCCATCTTTAAGAGATTTTTACGAGACCGCGATGGTCACTACCACTTCATTTGAGGCCTCCCCTCCATCCGAGCCGACAACTGTCAAAACTTCTGCCTTACTCGACCCCAGCTCTCCTCTGACAAAACAATCGAGTTCTGCTCCCAACTCGCCTCGACCTGACCCCTTCGAGACCCCTCAGCCTGTAGTCAGATCTCAACTGAAGAGTGAATCACCGGATCCACTCGCACTTCCAACATCCAAATCATCTTCCTCCGTGTCCAAAAATCGTAACAAAATCCCACCAGACCTTGATTCTACACCTCAGTTGAAGAGGCGCAAGATGGACAAATTCAATGCATATGTTGCCATATCACCTCACACTCAACCTAGTCGGCCGAAACATTCATCAATCTTCCCCCTCAAAGCAGATGATAGCGATCTTGGAATCTTGCCCAAATCAACTCCAATCCCTGCGTCGGTGGTACACAATATCAATTCACCGAGCCTCCCCAGTATGTCTGAGCATTTTTTTCCGCTCATCATGATAGCTTTGATTTATGATCAGGTGTCTTCTGGTTAGATCCTGCTGCTCGACTTGCCAGCGTGGTTGAAGATATATTGGAGGCAGATGACATGCGCGAAGGAACAAACTCGACGTGCGAATTTTTTGTTGTAAATGATGGCGATCCGATTCTCAACCCTAAGGTTCTGAGTAAGATGACGAAATTGATTGAGCACGGCAACGGAGATGGTCTGTTAGACATCAGCGGCGATGACATGAGCCGTCTGATGAAGCTCCTTGAAAAGGGTGTGAAGGCATTCGAAGAAATTCTTGTGGTTCCCAGTGAATTGAAAATCCTCAAATCTCCTCGTCCATCCTCGCTGAAGAGCTCTTCCAAGTCAAAGCGGGCCACTCCGTCGAAATCGTCCTCCAGGTCCTACACAAAAGGATCTGAATCTTTTGACATCAACGGTGCACCTCATGATCCAGATTACGAAGCCAATCACCACACGCTTCCACCAAATCTTGTGGCGGAGAATCATGTCAAAATCATCCAGGAACGAATGATTGACATGTTTAACGCGCTCCACTCGGTCAACTTTATGCTATTACTCCTCACTTGCGAGCAAAAGTTGCCCAAGCGTTTCTATTCCGAAGAAATCATCTCAATGATTACACGAAGCCTGAAACATCAGCTACATACCGTCCTCTATCCTTTCATGCAGGCAGGCCAAATAAGTGCCATCGACGGTACGTTTTTCAATAGGCTGATCATGCATTTATCTTGCATAAGTTTCCTTTGCTACTCAGATATTGAAGTTCTTTAGCTTTTGTAGCATACTCGACCCGTCTCGAACACGTCTTATCAAAGTCAAATGCCACACGTCAGGCTGTGTCTTCAATATTTTCAACCATCTCGACCTCCGTTCTCCCCAAGATCAATCTACTGGTGACCAATCTCGATCTGCCAGAATCGATCTTGAATCACCTCAACCACATCTGCATCAGCTCGTTTCTCTTCGAACCTCAAGCAGCCTTTTCCGCTTCAACTCGTTCAAGAAGCTCTTCCCAACACACCAAGCAATCTACTTATTCACACGGTGGCATAGCTGGGATGCGATTGGAGTGCTTGAACCTATTGCGTAACGTGAACTCACCTCACTTGCTCTCGAATTCTCGAGTTCATGCTGTCATTGAAGCTTTGCTGATCCTCATTCAAGCGCTGCAACTTTCTCGTCCACAGATCTCCTCAAAATATCCCGCGCAAACCGACGGGATTGTTGACGAAGTCTTGAGCTCAATAGTCAATGTCTCTGGTTCATTTGTCTCGTCCCCCATCATCGGAAGTGGGTCAGCCCGATATCAGTATGTCCATTCACGCCACATTTACCCTAAATTCTTCTCACATCTCAGCTTACGGCCTATGCTGCAAGACTTTCACATGGAAAGTCTATACACAGCATCTCGGCTTTGTTGTTGCATATCATTCAATGCTCAGCACACGGCACTCGAGCCCGATTACGCTCAAAATTGCGTAATCTGCAGGATAATCCGGAAGAAAAAAAGGTCCTGGAAGCATTGTCAACCAACGATTCGAAAGAAGCTATCTATCGAGTGGTGAAAGATACAGTAGAGCCCGTATTCTCGACTGCTACTCAACTGGGTACGAAGATCATCAGATTCCTAAGTGAGAAGTGAGCAATCATCAGTGCCACCTCATAGTTTCCTCATCCTCACTCCCACAATCATGTTTTTCTACGCAGGTCTACGAAAAGTGGCAAATCAAACAACGAGTCAAATTACCGGCTTGTATTCGATCAATTGGTGTCTGATTCAATCGATTTATTATATTTACCTGACTGGCCTGTTGCAGAGTTTCTACTCGGTCTCTTTTGCAAAAAAATGGTGAGTGTTCTGGGCTTTGCTTGTCAAGATGTACGTTCGTCGTTGAGTTTTTTCGCGTTGGTAGGTAGACATCTGGGAAGAAACAAAGACAACGTCCGCCGATAGGAACGCCATCAAAGCTGTATTTATCGACCACATGGGACATATCGCTGCACGATTGTTTCGTCCCTATCCAACAGGCGACACTGACGGCAAAGGAGAGCTTGCCCAGGGTGAACAGGCGCCTAAACTCTTCAAAGTGTGCTTTAATCTTTGACCATTTACCAAAAAAAACAATAGACCGACATCTTGTTGATGGCTTTGCAATTTTTGAATACGGCTTATCTACACTTTCAGACGATGCTTAAAACTGGGGACCTCGCTAATCTTTCACAGTTTTTCCAATCACAAGCAAGCTTGATCTTGAAATTGGATGGTATGAATACTATGGAAGATGAAACAAATGTGAGTAAGATGTCTATTTGCATGTCTTACAGTTTAAATTAATTGGACCCGTATGTGTTTCAGAGTGCGTCGGATTTTCTCCAAGCGCAATGGTCGATGGAATTCATGAAGGCAATCAGATCGCTGAGATCTGAGCAGCAAATGGAAGATGCGCCTACTAGTATAGAATTGCTGGATTTTCTGAAAGAACAGCTTCATATCTTCTGTAGTCTAGAAACACGGCTCACACCCAATTCAGCTGTCTCTCACCGTCTGTATGTGAGGAACTTAGTCGCGTCCTGTAAACTTACAATCACCGATTGCTTACTCGCCGTGCTTCACTGATCACAGAAATCTGGACCCCGTTTGCGTCAATCCGGGATCACTTCTCGAATCCATGTCTCAGATACAGGGCCTAAAGTTGGTTCGCGATCTTTTACTTGATCGGATCATACTTGCTTCTGCTACATCGGTAGTCACCTTTCGCAGCAAAGCTATCAAAGCTCTTGGACTAGTTGTTGCGCAAGATGAAACAATCTTCTACAGGGTCAGTACAACTGAAAAACTGCTCTTTGTATATTCTAATGCTCTATTTTCCTACTTGCCAGAAATCCGTTCGCACTGCAATCGAGGAAAGGATGTTAGACAGCTCTCCCGCCGTGCGCGATGCGGTCATGGACTTAATTGGAAAATACGTGACAGTCCGACCCAACCTGGCTATCACATTCCTTCCTCAGATCGCAGTTCGGATTGCGGTCCGTCTTCCTTATCTTGTCTGATACGTGAAAAGATGGATCACTTCTCTGATTCACGGTTGGACGTTTACCGCTGTTCTGTTCCTCAACAGGACAAAGGCCTTTCTGTACGACGTAGGGTAGTGAAGCTACTCAAGTCTATATATCAACTCATAGGGGACGATCATGTCGATCTCAAGGTTGAAATCTCAAGGCGTCTCATGTCGAGAATGTATGATGAGGATGTGACATTGAAGGTATGTTTGAGTACTGTGAGGTATTAACCGAGTGGTCGTAGGTACCAAGAAGCTGACACTTCTCTTCTCGAAACAGGAGCTGGCTATGGATGGCTTAGGTGAACTCTGGTTCACTGGCGCATTCAATGTCCACACTGTGGGGACGATTATGATGCAGCTGACTGCTCATGATGGTGAATCGACAGTCTCACTAGAAGAGGCAATCAAGTTTGTAAGTGTGGTGTATCATGTCATCAAGCCGATGGATTGTTTAATTTTGAAGTCTCTTCAGATTCTTAGAGGATCCACTAAGATCGGGGCTAGTGTGCAGGATGAGATTCGAAGCTTCTGTCAAACGATCGTGGATCATCTGATTGACGAGATGATGAACGGTGGTATGACGGCGAATGATCGATCGTTTGTGCGCATTATTCATTGCTTCAAGATGTCAACAGTTTCCGACCTTCTAATGTCACTTCTTGGCTGGGTTCAGAGCGAGGGTCACTGTATCAAAACCATTTACGCCATAGCTTCTGTTAGTCCGAGGATGCTTTCACCCAACAAAGCTATGATACTTTTACCGTATCTCAAGGGCGCGACTTCAGTAAGCATCTCTCTCGTTATTTACTCACTTCCTCTGAATGAAAATTTTTGTTGACGTGATATCTTTTCCTTTCTTGCTTCTGTTTCCTACAAAGGCAGAGGAGCAGATGACAATCCAGTATCTTCTCAAACTTTTCAAGGCTTGTGTCATTGATACTCCCAAGTTATCAGATCAATTTTGCAATACCCTACAGGCCGCTTTGCTTCCTGCCTTGAACAAGCCGAATCTCAACGATGGCGTAATGGTTGGTCCGTCTCACTGTACAGTATTCAATATTTTTGATGAGGTTCCATCTACTGATCTCTTGACCTCGATGTCAGATTTTACAAGAGAGAGTTTCGTGTTTCTGCGCCGTTGTGGTCTATCAAACACACGATTTTTCGAAGTTGATCAAGGTTTTCAAAGCTTGCGAGCAAAGGCTGAGGGAGTGGGTGGTCAAACTGGACCAAAGCGGGACCACAAACATCAATCTCCAGCCGTTATTACTCTTGATGTACTTGGTCAGTATGTTGACTGCTTACGGGCAGTTGGATGAGCTAGCGGTTGAAAATGAAGGTCAGCTAGCTTCTTTCCCACTGATATAACTAACATCTTACACCCTTGCTGATATTGGTCAAATTCGATTTATATTCCACTTCTAGATATTCGAAACGAAATAAAAGGAGTTGGAGTAGTGAGTATCAATGTTTTCGATCCTCTTTACACATCTTGCTTACCTATCGCGAATCCAGCTGCCACTACACGTACATGTCTATCAATGCTTTGTGCGAATCTTTCACATGCCGAGAACAGAATCCATCCGTCATATCACCGTCAACTGCCTTGGTCAGAGCATACGTTTGACTTGTTTGTACTGTCCTGATGTACCAATGCCGTGGATCTTTCATTACGTCTGTCACCCACAGGTTATCTATATCGGACGTATCCAACCCTAATGACAGAGCCTGAATCGACCAAAATCATGGACCAGGTATTTGCTGACCCTAGTATCGAGCTACGGTCTCGATTATTGAAACTCATTGCCGAGTTTCTAGCTAGTCAGACGGACAAGTCTGAAGCTATGGAAGACAAAAGTACGAGTCTTGCGTGAAAGAATTGAGCGGTAAGTAAGCTGGTTGACCACTACAATCTTTCACAGGTTTGACACCGATAACCAATACGATCGATATGGATCAACTGATCGGAAATACCGACAACTTTGCTGACTCTGGGTTTGTCTGAATTCCCTTTTCTGACATGTTTTGCCTCCCTCAAGACTAGCCAAGCACTAAGTTCATATTTGCTCCATTGAACGAATAGTGTTGGTTTGGCGATTGTACAGCGATATCTTCCTCAGATTACCACGTTCGCTCAGTCTGTCGATGGTCCGATGCAAAAGGCGGCCGTCGATATCATCGCTTATACCATCAAGCAAGGTCTCGCTCACCCCATGTCATGCATACCCGTCTTAGTAGCATTAGAAAGCTCTAGCGATCAGACGCTTGCAAAACGTGTCTTCGGACTGCACACGCTCTTGCATACCAAACGGCCGGACCTAGTTCACACCCGATTCTTAGAGGTTATGCGAGAAGTTTACAAGTTCTATTCCAGAACAAGCTCATCTGTCTCTGGTATGTTGGACCGCTTCGTAATCTGATAGTTACTTTTGCTGGTACTGACATCTGCTCTTACATTTCAGGGTACTTCGACAATCCCGCACGCTCGGTCATTGCTCCTTGGTATACGCTTTTGAGCCAGAAACGCACGTGGAGATTGGATCTGATTAGAAGTCTCATCAAGTCCTTTTCGGTTGATCCTCTCTCGAGTACCGTAGAAATTGATGATTCAACGATCGACTTTAACCGTTTCCTTTGTGAAGCCATACTCACGATTGATTTCAAAACTCAAGAGGAAGTCTTGACGCTCGTCAATGCTTTGAATTTGATATTGGGACAGTATGCGTATCAAGCTCTAGATGTTTTGGAAGGTGGTATGACAATGAAGATGCTCGATGAGGAAGATGAAGATGACCTTGAGAATGACGTTTCCGAAGATATAGGATCAAAGTCGGTTGCTATTCGCGCTTCAGTGGTACTAGGAATGGTGTTCAGGTTAAGAGATCGAGTAAAGATTTTGTATGGACTGACAGATCAGTAAGTATCTCCTCTTTCTTACAGAGTGGACACTATACTATATGACGTGGCTGAAAAATCTTGATCCGCACTCGAATTGTAGGAAATGTTCAAAGTTTTTGGCCTCGGGTGGCAAGAAGAGTAAAATGGGAGATACAGCAGCGGTGAGAAGAGTGAAGGTAATGGAGGAAGACAAAGAGAACTTCGAGAATGGTTTGTCATCGTCGTTTATGAAGGGAAAACTAGAAAGCAAAGAAGACATGTTAGATCAGGTCAAGATATTTGAAAAACTAGTAAGGGATGATGTGATTTTAGGACAAAATGCGGCAGATGAAGATGAAGATGATACGATGATGGAGGAATGAGTGTGAGTGCAATACAAAGGGGCGCGAGAAGTGTAGATGAGATCTTGCTAATTGGTATGAAAGCAATTCTTTTCTGCATCTATATTATGATTTGCATGTAGACTGTTTGTTGTTGTTTGTATTATCAAGTGTGTAAATTATCATAATCCGGTAGAAGTTGATATATTTTAATGGATCTTTTTGTCTGCAGACAAGTTAATTCATGAACATTAGTGAAGGATAAAATTAGCTAAATCCGTAGCAAGTTTCATGGCAGCTGATGATGTTTGAATTCTTAACCCTCAAGCCATGTTTATAACTAACATCTGCATACTAACACAAAACCAGGGAGCAACTAGGAATCTAAGAAGCCTTGATTGAAGCTCACATTTTTTTAATGTGTTTTGAAGCACAGTAGAGGACAGTTCTTATCCCAAAAACTACTTGCAGGCCAATGCAAAACGGAAGTTGGACTTTCAACTCTGAGAATATATATGTATGTTGTACCGTGAAACACTCGGGGAAAGATAGACTCGGATTAATTTCCGACCCGCTGCAAGTGATAGTGCAGTATGTACCAGCAGTACCGGAGTGTATGAGAGTGACAGTTTAGATTTTTTTTTGGTTTTGATCGGTTGGTCCTCAGCATTTGCCATTCATAGTTTTGATTTTCAAATGTCCCCTCAGACATTGGGATAACTAGTTAATAAGTTTCTTTTATCTTTTTATGACATCAATCACCATCTCTCTCTCTTTCTATCTCTTAGATCAATTTTCAATATAGACAGCAAAAACTTCAAGCATGGACCGCAATCATGACCTTGATAGCCTCTTTCAGGCTTCACTATCTTCCGATATCAACTCCCGACATGCTGCTGAACAACAACTACAAGCATTAGAACTTACTGAAGGATTCGTATCATCCATATTCTCATTGGTGGCTTCCTCATCCAAGGACTTGCCAGTCCGTCAAGCTGCAGCTGTTTATCTCAAGAATCGTATTAGGGCATCATACGATCGGATTGGCCAGCTTAAACCTACCTCCGTCTCAGAACCCGATCGAGCGTTCCTTAGACAGCACCTACTCGATGGACTATCCTCTGTGCACCCATCGATTCGAATTTTGTTATTACCAACTCTCTCGGCGATCATCTCCGTGGACTACCCTCATCTTTGGCCTGACTTGCTTTCGCAGACTGTCCGCTTAATCTCGACCAATGAATTGGCTGCTATCGAAGCTGGTCTCTTGACGTTGGTTGAAATTATGCGTCTTTACCGATGGGCAGGGCGCGAGAAAGGAGATTTATCGGATCACGTTGTCGCCGCTACTTTCCCACTCCTTTTGCCACTTGCTCAAAATTTACTCAATCAATCAGTCGACAACTATTTTCTCCAACCTCGACCTTCTTCTGCGGCTGAAGCAAACTCGAACATTGGCACTCTCATGCATCTCATACTCAAAATCTACAAGACATCGATCACTGCTGAATTGCCTCCTTTCCAACAACAGCATATTGTACCTTGGGGTCAACTTCTACTGACTGTAGTCCGTAAACCACTCAAGGATAGTGTTGGATTTCCTTCTCAATTAGAGGATAGAGAACGGTGGGGTTGGACGAAGGCAAAGAAATGGGCGTACTTTACGGTCAATACCTTTTACATAACCATTTCGCTGGTCTCTAGTTTTGACTGACAAACAAAATCACTTTTGACTCCTGTTCCACAGCTCAATCGACTATACTCTAGATACGGTTCACCGTCACAACTTCCTACAGCCATGTTGTCTTATAAACCGTTTGCAGAGAAATTTATTGCCTGTTTTGCTTGCCCAATTCTGCGCCTATATCTCGATCAAGTTGAACTCCACGTCCAGGGTCTTGAGTGGATGAGTAAAAGGCTTATATGTCACACCATAGCTTTTCTGGAAGAAAGGTGAGCCGAGTACAACCAATTCTCTCCTGGCGTGCGAAGATTCTCATATCTCATGATTGCATCTGTGCCCTGGTCATTAGTATTCGACCCAAGGAGACATGGGCCGCTCTGAGATCGCACATTCCGGCTTTATTGCCAAGATTTATCTTTCCGTTGGTATGTATCAGTCCTGAGGAAGTGCGAGAGTTTCAGGAGGAACCGGAAGACTACGCTCGAGCCCAATTTGGAGACTTTTTTGAAGATTTGTGTACCAGCCCTAGTACGATGGCAGCTCAATTCATCTTAGCATTGGGGTCAGGTCGAAAGAAGACCATGTTTATGAGTATGCTGTCCTTCATAACGGATATATGTTCGAAGTATGTCCTACATTTCTCGTTACCTTTTGAGAGTGGCGTGACGGCGTGTTCCACGAACAGATTGGCTAATCAAGCGAAATACATATCACACTACAGATATCCCAACGAGGCCAATCCCCGGGAGAAAGATGGCGCACTCCGTATGCTCGCATATCTTGCCACAGTCATCACTGAGACCGTAAGTTCTGTTACATCTCCTTTCTTGGCGTGCATCGGATGTAATCTTTAACCTTGCCTATCAAAACACAGAAATCCTTGCGCAAGAACATTGAAGGATGCCTCATTTCATATGTTTTTCCCGAGTTCCAAAGCGAGCACGCCTTCCTACGTGCACGAGTAAGTGTCACTTTTGTAGCCGTCTTTTAATGATGTGATCTTTTGCTGAATCTTGGTTTTGAATGAAACAAGACTTGTGAAGTGATCCGTAAATTCGAAAACGCCGGCTCAGAATGGACAGATCCGAAGGTTAACCCATTTCATCCTTACCACAAATCGTCCGCCTTTTTAATCAGCTCTTATTTGAATTTCGCTGGGGATCTTTCTGGAATCTTCCGATCAGATCATAAGCGCTTACTATCAAGGCGTGATGCAATGCCTATCAGATAGCGCCTTGCCGGTGCGCGTACAGGCGGCTCTCACACTTGCCGACATATCAGACCACCCTCAGATACACGAAGCCTTAGCTCCACATATAGGAGGTGTTATGCAGGGTAAGCACCACTTGAGATCTTCATAGTTAATTGAACTTGTTCCCGGTCATTCTCTGCTGACCATTAGTCTTGGGCGCATAGGAATGTTAAGGCTTTCGAATGAAGTGGATTTAGACAGCCTCACTCAAGCCACGCGGTGCTTGGTTTCAGGATTCTCGGATGAGCTTCTACCCTACGCAGCAGATTTGGCCCAAGCCTTGCATGAGTCGTACATGAGACTCATGTCTGAGATTGCAGATACGCGGCAAAGATTGGGCGATGAGGACGACGACTCGAGCGAAGAGAAGGTTTTGGTAGCTATGAACATCCTCAAAACTCTTCAACAGCTTGTCGTCGGTCTAGAAGGAAATCCCACGGTGTTGATGCAGGTAGAGGCTGCGTCGATTCCTCTGATAGAGTATACCCTAAAGCAAGAATTAGTCGGTGCGTCCATCGCTTTACCAATCTCATAGTGGCTTCAGCTGCGTTTACTGATATTCCATCTCTAGAAATATACGATGAAGCTCTGGAATTGCTTGATTCGATCCAATTCGCTTTGAAAGATATCTCGAATGCCCAATGGTCACTCTTTGATATCATTTACAACATCTTCAAAACATCAGGAACAGATTTTATATCAGAGATGTTCCCTTCGCTTGATAATTTTGTCACCTACGGTTCTAATTTTCTCGCCACCCACGCTGAGAAGAGAAACATGGTTTTTGACATTTACTTGGCTACGATAACGAGTAAAAATCTAAGTTGTTCTGATCGTATGGTGGCTTGTAAGCTAGCCGACAGTATCTTGCTTTGTATGAAAGGTAATGCCGATGAAGCAATACCACTCTTCATCAATCATACCATGAAGATCATTCAACGTGGCATCACCACTGTTGATCCAATCACTACGAAAGGACTGTTTATGCATTCTTTGGAAGTGATCCTCAACACGATTTATTATAACCCTAGTATGGCTATGAATGTCTTGGTGGAAAACAATTGGAGTGGTGACTTTTTCAGCGGATGGTTCAATCGATTGTCGTCGTTTCAGAGGACCCACGACAAGAAGTTGAGCTTATTGGCGATATGCTCAATTCTTTCAATCAGTCTGAATGAAAGTGCCGAAAGTATTCTGGTCCAAAGTTCCGCCCAGCTCTTGATAGGGGCTCTGTCTTTGTTCGAAACTTTGCCTACAGCCATCAAAAGTGGGTTCTATCATATGTCACAGTATCAAGTAAATTTCTTGCGTAGCTGAGAATAGTGTGATATCTTCTCTATAGACCGCTTCGAACTGGAGAATGATTACAACATTGATTCTGACGATTCTGACGATGGCAATACAACTGTCGATGAGGGAAGCGAACCAGAAGATGTCGATGACACAGGTAATTTCTCAATACTTAATAATTGTGGTAATTGACTCACTCATGGTTTCCACAGATGACTGCGATTTGGTGGATCCGCAGATACGCGCTCCATCTAGCTATTGCAATCCTCAAAACGTAAGTCCAAGTCGTACAGCGATCCTTTTTGTTTGCAAAACTTGACTCTGTCTGTATTTGCTCCACAGTCTTTTGGTCGTGGTGGCGGTGATGACGAGCGCACCATTCCGCCAAGCTCACTGTGGAGTGATGAAATTCTTTGGGAGACACCGCTAGATCGGGTCGATGTTTACAAAGAGTTTGCATTGGTCATGAAAAGTAAGTGCTTCATTCAATGCAAACAAGTGCTTAAACAATCGTGCTATTCATCTACTGACTCGTTCGATTTAGATGTCGAAGATAGTGGTTCTCCCATCCTTCATATCATCTCAAATGCTTTGAGTCCTGAGCAACGAATGAGCCTACAAAAAATTCTCCACCAAGCAAATAACGGTGGCGAATTCGGAATGAAAAGCGAGATCCAACAATCGGTTCAAGTTAACAGTCATATCAACAATCAGGCCTTATAATGTAGACCTACCATCATATTCGAATCTTCAAGATGCTAGTGGAACTGACACAGCACGGGGTGAGGAGAAGAGTATTCATGTCTTAGTTTCATCGGTTTCGAGTTTCAATGTGATGTTATTCGTGGTTTTCGTCATTTTTCTTATATTCTTGGCTTCTCTGATCATTCATCTACCTGAACCACTTCAAGGGTTGTTACCAAAAGATCGATTTGCTACTTTCTTTGCACCATAGATGTGAACGAGACTGAAAAATATTGCTGTCTGTGGGGTGTGGAAATTTGCATATTTTATTGTCATATCATTGATAGCTATGTGATCAAAGATCTAAAAGGTCAGGAGACAGACTCCAAGATCAGATTATGAGTAGAATAGAATCCACATGAACGGTAAAATCAGACCTTGTGAAGATCAAAGGAATGGTAGACGGAGGCTGACCAGCAACATCTGATTGCTGAATATCACACTCAACAAACAGACCAGTGTGATAGGAATGGACTGGATGGCAATGAAACCTTCAAGTTGGCTGGTGCTGTTTTGTCCTCCAGACAATACTATGTATAAATTCAAGATATTGCAGATCTTGGGATCTGGCGTGGGATAGATAATGAACTTTTGTAAGTATCACTTCAGGTCTGATAAGAGGTCCAGTCATTATTCTGCTCAATAGTAGGTGATATATAGAGTGCCAGAATAACAGCAAGATATGGATTTTGTCAGCCTTGCCAGCAAAGACTTCAACAAAGACATTTGGTAAACATTCTAAAAATGTCAAACAATGGCTCTGCTTCTTGTCCATATATTTCAGCCAGCCTTCTTCAGCAAACCATTCCTTATCTGACCATCCAATAAACCTCAACACAATCCAAATTTCTCACAAGTGATTCCATAGCTTTGGTCATAATCTTGCTATGAGCCTAAGAGTCCGTTCGGTTGCCTCCGACCTCGCAGGTTGACCCAGCCAAAATCTCAAGCGTACGCTTCGAGGCAGTTTGAAGTGTACGCTTGAAATTCTGCTGTTCGGTACAGAAGCCGCGGTCGACCTTTGAGGCGTCCACCTCGAGGTCGGCCAGCCAAATTTGTCGACCTGCCAGGTTTGACGTTTTGGTCGAATCTTGCAGGTTGACCTGGCTAGTGCCATAGACCTGAAACCAGGAGCGCGACATCAGATTTTGCAAAGGGAGAAAACCCATAAGTTGCGAGGTCAACTACACTTCAAGTCGAGTGTACCGAACGCACCAAACCCTGGTACACGCTTCGTGGCAGACATGGTCTACCTGCGGATCCGCAGGTAGACGCCTCGCAAGTCTACGCCTGCGAGGTCGAAGGCAGCCGAACGGACTCTAATAATCCTGTTGGTCCCACATCATCTCCTGACTTTGATGACAAGTCAAGTTAGCCATGATCTCTCATGCATTATCACAATAATTTTTGAATAGCTGGGTTGTATTCAACACCCACACTTCCCCTTGTACATACACTTACTGGCACAACAGTCATTACCCACTATGCATTTCCTTCTTTCCACTGCTAGTGCATAGCAATGAGTCCTTCAGGTGATTCTTGGTCCCAATTTTCAATGAGGATTGGATCTTTGAGGGATCCAGATGTTGGCCAGGACCCCTGAGCCCTCAACTGCCAGGGCTAGACTCAGGCTAAGCCACAATCCAAAAAATGTGGCAGGGGGCGTGCAGCACTCCAAGCCAACCAAATTTCTGACTTCTTCACCAACCCACACCCTCCTCCCAACCTCTCCAGTCCCCATGAGGCTCCAGCTTAAACAAAAATATACAGGGACCTAACAATCCTGCGGGATCTTGTCTTGTATTTTTGTCCAGGTGGGGCCTGATCCCATGGGGTGATTATAATCAATCTTGAGGTTCTAGGGAAGCCAGAAAATGAGAAAGAGGAAAGGTGCAGAATAAGTACTGTTCCTATGCTGCTCTAGTAGGATTATATGTGAAAATACTAATAGTACTATCACATGATGTACATTTTGCCAAGCACATATCAGAACTTTAAGTGTTGCACAGGATGTAGTGGATTTTAACCGCACAGGAATTGTCATAGCAACCAGGAGTGAGATCTGACTATCTCAACTTAATCAGTCATCTCAAGTACAGCTGTTCATGAAATCAATGTCATGTTTGCAAAATTTCATGCAAGTTTGGTCGCCACATCAGCATCTCATACAGCTAATACAGGCATCTCAAAGTGATCCTATGTAAGACCTGTAACTGACCCAGGGTGTACATTAGGTCAATCAGCCTTGGGGTCTACCATATAGATTGGTCCTCCAATTGCTGCTTGTCAACCAGAGTCTTCCTCACCACATCCCTCTGCCTACATACCCTCCCTCACTCAAAAACTGTGCTAAAAAGACCTAGGAACATTGGATTCAGGGAAGATACTCTTTCATACTGGTTCACAGCTCTGCCAACTGTCCCTGACAAACTTTCCATTGTTTGAGCTGTGGGACTCTAATCTGTGTGAGCCAGAAAATCCAATGCCAGCACCAAGGTCTTGGCTTTTCAGCATCTACATGAAGGCAAGACAATTGATGTGGATTGGAATGGTGTGAACTCTATTGAAGTCATTGGTTAGCCCAAGCACAATCTTACAATGGTATGTGCTACACGGGATCTGCTGTTTGGAGTCCTGCCAAATACCACAAACTTGGTAGGCACACAAAGTTGTTGGATGAATATCACAACTTCATGCTGGAACTATTGAATGGTAATCCTGGCCTCTGCCTAGAGGATTATTGACACTCTGTGTACTGGGGAACTGCCTGTAAGACCTACGGTCATTACACAGACATAACTCACCAATCACTTAAATATTAACACTTATACTTAAAATGATTTCTCATATATATTATTGTTCTCAATTCTACGCTTGGTTCCTTAGCGATTCGGGACTGACTTCCCACCCCTTATCCTTCGGAACCAGGTAAGCGTTCATATTCTTTCTAGTGTTATCATTCTTTTCTTTTGATGCTTGTAGAGTGTTAGAGCGATTCGGGACTGACTTCCCACCCCTTATCCTTCGGAACCAGTCTCCTATACTGGGTATTCCGTTGATTTGAAATATAAGTCTCTCGGGTTCTAGAAACCTGTCCCGCTGTGTGTTCCACGGCGCTCTCTTTGTGCATTCCCGGTGAAGGTTCTAAGGAACCTTACACTTTTTTTTTCTCAAACCCACGAGACACAAAACGCTAGGATACTACAGTTCGCTTTTGATTGAATCGAATGACTACTCCGCAATTCAACTATACACTTAATTCAGTTGAAACCTTAACTCTACTCAATTCGATCGACACAGTCTAATCAACTGTCCAACACCTAAGCCTTCTGATACAAGGAAGACCTCGGCAATCTTGCCAAAACTTTTTCTATTTTGCATGAATACTAGACAATCACACCAGCCAGACCAACCCGGTTCAAATACCGACTTGCCAGACCCCGAAGCTATTTTGAAAGCCGGCCGAAGAGAACAAAAACTTGCCGGAAAACGAAGCGCATCGCCAGCCTCTACTGCCAGCCCAGACTCATTTTCGCCAGGAGACCTGACTAAAACTGCTACACCTTTGCCTTTAACACCATCACGCATTCGCACTGACAAATTCCCGCCATATCGCCCATTGATTACTCCATTCCCCAAGTTGGCACCGATGGCGAGCAATTCCGACGCGTCGACCAGTCGAGACCCACCTATGGGAGACTTGGTTCGAACAATTTTGGAGTCCCAAATCACTGGAGACAAGCGCGTGAAACTACTTGAAGAAATGGTGTTGAAACTCGCCGCCTTGCAGACTGGACCCTCGACCGAGACGAAACCAGATATTCCTCGGCCTGAAGGCGCCATCGACTTGACGAAATTTCGTACTGCTGATGGACCGGTCTTCAAGGGCCCTTATCATGACATCGAAGGTTTTCTCACTTGGTTCTCGTCCTTGAAGACGTTCTTCAGAACAAAAGGTGTTGTTCTCGACAGTGATTGTATCACACTGACGGGAAGCTTCCTGGCTGAATCGAACGCTCATGCTTTCTATGAAGGGGGGTATGACCGCTTCATCAAAGGAACTTGGCAAGAGTTCATCCAATGCTTGTTCGCCGCGTCATTACCCAGCGATTGGATGGATCGACTATATGAGAGAGCGCAACATTTACGCATGTCCGTATACGAAGACTTCAGAAGCTATAGTACTCGTGCACGAAACGTTCAGAATCTAATCAACTTTGATGAAGTGAAATTAAATGACTATCAATTAGCAAAATTTGTTGAATACGGAATGTTGGAGGAGCTGAAGACATCGGTTAAATTATGGGGTTACATTCGTCAAGAGAAGGATTTTACATATCATGAATTCGAAGGAAAATGTGAAACTCTTTACGACTCGCTTGTGGCGTCGCGTGTAATTGTCAAGAAGTCTCGTAGTGCGCCTCAGTCAGCCCCTTCAGCCTTCTATCGACCTCCGGCAGTCAGAGCTCAAAATCCGAGATTGACCGATGAGGAATTTGCTTGGAAGATCGACTCTTATCGTGATCTTTTAGGCAAATGTCATTTTTGCAAGGGATACTGTGGTAGCGAGTATAAGGCATGCAAAGGACCTTATGTCAGAGAGAAGGTTGTTTTTCCACCGGGGTATGTGGCGCCTCCGAAACCAGCCAATTATGTACCACCCAAAGCTAGATCATCGCCTCCTGCAACAACACCAGCAGCAGGACGTGCAACTCAACCACCTGCAGGTCGCCCTATAACTTACGCGCGCGCGGCGGCGGCCTCAGAATTCCCTGAGTTAGACCAAGCATCTGTAGCCGCACTTCAAGCTTTAGACGAAGAACTTGGGAATAGTGAGACTGAAGGGTGCGTCTCTTCGGAAAAGACTCCTCGTGTGATACTCGAGCTCATGTGCAATGGGAAGCGGTTACGAGCACTAGCTGACCCTGGCGCTGAAATCAATCTTATGACAGGTGATGCTGCCGACCGCCTTCAACTTGTACAAAGGAAGCTGGTACGACCAACGCACCTCAGTCTAGCGGTGACAACAGATTCTCCTGCCCCAATACTTACTCATTTCACTACCGCCGATTTGATTGACGAACCATCGGGTAGACGATTTGACCGCTCATACTTCAAGATAGGGGATGTGGGGGGAGAGTTTGATGTCATACTGGGAACACCTTTTTTTAATATCTTTCAATTTTCAGTATCTATTAATCAACGTGCGATTGTTTGTGAAAGGAGTGGAATGAAGATAATTGATTTCAGAGCCTTAGAAGAGATGAAAGAGCGAGTGAGAATCATGAATGTGCCGCGCATCCGCGAACCGGTAGTGGAAAAGGAAGAGAGATGGGAGAGAGAAGTGAGCAGACGTGAAGCCGTGGGATCCTTATCAGGATCTGTGAGT